TGCTCTTCCATTTGGTGCTGTTATATTGCCATAAACCCATGGTAGATGAATGTACACATACACAACCTTAGTTGACAATGCACAGAATACCCTGAAGCACCAATCTTAATGGTGAGCTAAGCTTACCTTCAGTGTGCTCAGATCACTCACATGAGGCTAGTTAAGCAAAATCACCTAAAGCACTAAGTACTGTGTACAAAAGTATTGACTATCACACATAATTGCTTCATATGGAATACTGTAGTGATAGTTCATCTAATCCCATGTTAATACCATTATTTCATTGATTAGTGCAAAGTCCTCTTAACCTCATCACATGTTAAAAGTCACTCTTCTGAATGGGTTCATTAGAGATGCAGTTTCCAACATATGTCCATTGGACACAATCACACTGAGTGTTGGTAACTGATTTGAAATCTATGATGTGACCCAGAAAAACATCCGCAGCAGATGGAGGTTGTCACATACCCAAGGCTCTTCTGTGAGATGATAAAAGAGCCCTCAGCCCTGTCAGGCTCCATTCGTTGGGTTGGAGTCCAAGCCCAGGGTATGACCCTTTCCTCAGACATCACTCGGTTTACTTATACAAAACAAAAGGTTATAACAGGGTGTGTGGCTCAAGAGGTAGATTGTCTGCTTTACCAGAGTCCACACTCTACAAGTCCTGAATTGAAACCACAGTCTCAAAAAAAAAAAAAAAGGAAAGTACATGATTCACGTTCGCATCCAAAATTGCTCAACTATTTAATAATAGTAAAGTGAAAAGTTCCCACACAGGCTGGGAAACTTTTTTATATATTATCACATGGAGATCTCTGATGAGATACTCCTCAAAGCCTTTAATTAACTGATTGGCATATCACGGGCAGTACGTATAACATATCTAATAACTGTCACATCCCTACCAATTATGCCAATTAGTGAACAAGGACTCTGGCTGGACCATTGTGCCAAGTGTAGCATTATATCAACCCTCAAAATACACTCTGGACAATGAATCTCTAATAAGCTGATCTGACAATTTTAAAATCTTGTGACAATATATTTATATGAGAATTCTGAAAGAATTTTAAGTTAAAATACAGAAGTATTTTAGTCTCTGAAAAGAAAAAAAGAATTAATTAAGAATTCTGGGAAGATGAGACCAAGGATCAAAGAAGTGACAATAATCTAGATATTGACCTGGAGGGTGACTCCATGGCTGCTTACATTCTTACTTAACCTTAGCATGAAACAATTTCAAGAATTCTCTTTGCTTCTCCAGGACTTGTCATTCACCAAGATTCCAACCAAAACAATTAAACTCTTACACAACAGTCATGAAAGGAAATTCTTACTTCTTCACTGCAGTGGAATGTTAAGGCAGAATAATTCTACCAAGGAAACAAGTAGTTCAGGAAGTAGCCAGCTTCATTTACAGATCACAGGGAGCCACACTCAGATGGTAAAATTCAATCCCCAGAGCCTGTAATCCCAGCTCCTTGGGACAGGCTGGAGGACTGAGTTGCAGGTCAGTCTTGAAACACAGTGAAGACCCTGTCACAAACAAAGGAAAAAAACATTCCTAAGCATGGAGACCTCTTTCATTGTTCAGGGGTAGTCTGGGCAGCTTGTGACTGGATAGTGAGTAAAGGGGACCTAAGTAGCCAGAAAATGTAATTCTAGAACCTCCACACATACTGTTCTCCTCCTTTTCACACCAATTCTCAGTTCTTACCAAGGATCACTCACTGGGAGGCATTTTAAGACTGTGACTTGTGTCATTTCTGACATTGCTTCAGATACAACATACGGTGTTTGCTCACCATCAACAATTCTGTATCACCAACTGGGTTTCCAACAACTCAATTATGACACCACGCAGAGGTAATAGATTCCAGAAGGTCAGGACTCAGTTCCCCCACATTGTCCCCACTGCAGATGCCAGTCCCAAGCATGTGATTTCATCATAGGGTAACCAGTCCCTCTCATGAAGCTCTCAAGGGGTCCTGCAGTATAATTTCATTAGCATGAACTCAGGTGTTGTCTAAAAAGAGTTTGTTATGAACAACCAATCACATTCCTATCACTCTACAAATTCCAAGGGCTCTAGGAACTCAGGCCCAGATGTCAGAGGGCACAGAGGTCAAATATATTTCCACAGAATTGCAGAAACTATGAAATACATAAACCATTTTTTCCCCTGGCAGAACCCAAACCTGTCTTTCTGTGCCCAACACTCAGACTTTCTCAATGGGTACAACTTGCATTCTGACTCTGGCAACTCGATGCAACAGCAAACCACTGATGGTTCAATTTTACCCAATCTTACTGTCCTGGTAAATGGGAACAAGAAAAGAAATTAAGTCCCCTTATTGTGCAAAGAAATACCTCACTACACTTGGATGACATGTCCTGCTTTTCACCCTGCAAATCTAAGACAAAACCAAACATAGGCTAAACAAACATTCCTTAACTTTCTCTCCTCATTCCAGGCCTCTGATCTCTGACCACCCCCAGTCTGAGATAGCACATGACTCCTCCTTCACTGTCATCCTAAGGACATGTGACCTCAGAGCCATGTCCCCTGTCCCAAGAGGTAACGCTGCCCCATCTGTTGCCCTTCTCTCCCCCTTCTTTCTCTTCCTATTTCCTCCTCCCTAGAAAGCACAACCCTGCTTGCCCTTGCCCTTGAGACCATGCAGACCTTGCACTTGGAGCTGTACTGACTCTGCAATAAGCTCAGGTCCTGATACCATCTGAATTTCATTTGTAAACACTGTCTACACACAGGAAAGGATGACACCAATTATGATATGGAGAGCTGCATCTCTGCTTCAGCTACACCAGGACCCCTTTCCCATGAGGGCCATGTGGGCAGTCCCTGAAAATGAGGGAGTTCCCACTATTTCTCAGGAGACTTGGCTCAGGACCAGGTCATGGTGGAGAACCACTTTCACCATCAGGAAACTTGGGGCACTCAGGTCTGTGCTGGGATGGGGGGACACACATGAGGATCCCACAAGGTGGCAGTGGCTGTCTGGTCACAGCAGTCCAACTTGAACAGGGCAAAGGGATGGGAGACAAAATAGTGGCTTCCATTAGACTCACAGAAGATGAGGTGGAAATAAATTGTCACATCATCCCCATGGTTGAGCCAGAAGCCCAGGTCCAGACCCCAATATGGGCACAGCCAGTCACCAATGCAATTTGTGGGTGGAAGATGGCCATACAACAGTCACAGCCAATGACTGTGAGCAAGCTGAATTTGGATTATCCCACTGTGAGGGAGAAGGACTTCTGTTCCTCACAGTCCACAAGATGGTGGAGTGATGAGTACAGTAGGCCAGCCAGCATGCAAGAGGTGACAAGATCAGCAGGAGAATCTCTGAGATGGAGAGGGGGCACAGGATGGGGGACTTGGGTGGGAGTCTGTGCTCAGCCCAGAGAGCAGCCATGATGAGCAGGTTCCCAGAAGTGTGTACAGAAACCAGCAGGTAAAATAGGAAGAGGGGTGGTGGCAGCTGCCACTGAAATGCCCAGGAAGCCAAGTAGGAAGACTAGTGCCCTGGGCTCCAGCCTGACCAGGCACATGCTGCATTTGCAATGCCAGACCTAAATGAATGCATGGGGAGCACACAGGCTCTTACACAGACCCAATTATAATTTAAGAACTCTGAAGGTTTTTATCATGGAGAGGTATAGGTTTGAACTCAGGACTTCATGCTTTCAAACCAGGCACTCTGTTCGAGCTAGTCCTCCAGTCAATTTTGGTATGGTTATTAGGAGATTGGATCTTGAGAACTATTTGTCCAGGATGGCCTGAAACCTCGATCCTCCCAATATTAGCCTCCAAAGTAGCTAGGATAACTGGTGTGAGGAATAGGTACCCAGCTCAGTGGGAATTTCTTAGGTTGTTGTGGGTAATTACATGTGCAAAGTGATTCCTGACACGTGCCTAATTTGGTCACAACTCTCATATCAATCACTCTCTGCAGATTGGTCTTGGCCAGGGATCTGACACTCTAAGACCCTAAAGTCACTGGGCATAGTGATATACACCTGTTAACTCATGAGCCATAGGCGTCAGGTGGGTGACTTTGATACTTGTCTGGGAAGTTAGTAAGACACCTTCTCAAAAGGAAATAAAAGGGCTAAGGGTGTACCACAAGGGAGGTGAGCCTGCTAACTAGCATGTGGCCCTATGTTGTGTTTATCCAGTACAAGGAAGGCATAGGAAGGTGGAGGGGAGAAGACTTATTAACATATTACACTCATGCACAGTTGTCTAAACCTCAATAGCATAATGTCACCTCAATAATTATTTTTATATTTTGTGGGACGTATTTTTGAAACATGGTCTAGTTATGTTAGCCAGTCTGTCTTGGAACATATGAACATTCTACTTCAGCCTCTTGAGTGATGTGACTACAGGTGTTCATTACCAGGTCTGAATTAATTATTTTAATCAAAAGTGAAAATGAGAAATTAATTTGTCCACAGATCTATTATATAAACAATCTATTGAGAAACACAACATATTGAAAACTTCTAGAACATTTTATTCAGGGTGTGCATTTTCTGGAGTATTCTGCACAAATTACTTTGACTCAAACTCTTTACATCACTAACATTTGTAGGATTCAATTGAATGAAGAATTTTTACAGGACTTTGAAATTACCTGTTGCCACTGACAAGTTTCTTTTCTTTTCCACACTCAAAAATTTTGGACCAGAGTACATCTCACATGTGTGTGATCAGGACCCTTGTCCATTTCTTCTAATCAAGGCATCTTGCCAGAGTATGTTCCTGTGTACCTTGGAAGTGAAATGAGATGACTTCAGGCATTACCACACACATTACATTGATGTGATTCCCTCCACAATACATTCTCTTGATTGCTAGTAAAGTCATGATATTTAAATGTTCCATAAATATAGGCATTTTTCCAAACTTGACTAACTGCACTTTTTCTACAGGACTTGGAAGAAATGAAGTTATTACCACATATCTTACATACATAGGGTTTTCTCTTCAGTGTGAATTCTCTCATGTATTTGAAGAGAACCAGAATTAGTGAAGGTCTTTCCACAATGCTTACATACATAAGGTTTCATTCCAGTGTGAGTTCCTATATGTCATTGAAAGGTATTTGAATCAATGAAGGCTTTCCTGCATTGCTTATATACATATGGTTTCTCTCCAGTGTGAGTTCATTCACATATTTGTAGGTAATTTAATGAATGGAAGGCTCTTCCACATTGCTTGCATTTATAGAATTTCTCCCCTGTGAATCCTTTTATGATATTGAAGTGAGTAAGGATTGGCCAAGGCTTTTCCACATTGCTTACATTCATAGGGTTTCTCTCCATTGTGAATCCTTTTATGGTATTGAAGTGAACTGCGATATGGAGAGTCTTTTCCATGGGGTTTCTTTCCACTGTGAACACTTTTTTGGGACAGATGTGAACTGTGATTCCCAGAGGCTTTTGCACATCCCTTGCATTCACAGGGTTTCTCTCCAGGGTGAATTAATTTATGTCTGTGAAAGGAACTGGCCCAACTAAAGACTTTATTGCACACCTTACACTTGAAAGGTCCTCCTCCAGGGTGGGTTACCATGTGTTTATGAAAATCTATGAGAGTCATGAAGCTTTTCCCACATCGCTTACACATACACAATTTCTCTCTAGCATGAAGATTTGTATCTGCACATAGCTATGGCTACTGAAATCTTCTCCACATTATCTACATTTGTAGAGTTTCTCTCCACTGTGAGTCCTTACATGCTTCAGAAACCATTCAGCATAACTGAAGGCTTTCCCACATTCCTTACGTGTATAGATCTCTGTATATTTCTCATACTTGCACAGTCTTAACTGTAACAGCCACATTTGAAGATGAAGGACCAGTGAGGACTTCTCCACATATAGGACTTTCCCCCGGTTTTACTCCAGGAAGAGATTCCTGCTCACTATAGGATCTGCAATCCAGGTGCAGATTTCTCCACAGTGACTCTCTTCTGAGTGTTCACAAAGTCTCTTGACTACTTCATATTGGTGCAAAAAGGGAAGCACATTACTAAGACTTTGATTATTATTTAACTTACTAGTTTTATGCCCTCTTAATACTTTTTAAATATGAATAAACTCAATGCTCTTTAAAATGGCCTAAGGACAGCTATCATGAAAAAACTCTTAGTGAGGTCTGGGGGTCATAGCTCAGGTGGTAGAGCACTTGCCTAGCAACCATGAAGTCCTGTGACAAATCTCTAAAACACAAAAAGGAAAAGAATACAGTATCAAGGTATCTATATTTCAAACACTGAATGGCTTTGTCACATCTTCACATCTCTTTATTTTTGAGACTGTATGTCACTCAGGTTGGCATCAAACACAGGGCTCATGTGTATCAGCCTGTGACAACCATAAATTACAGGTCCCAGCCACCAACCCTGATTCCCTATGTAATTTTTTAAACTGTTACGATGAATTAATTTCATTTAGGAGTCTCACTGTGTATATACACATGCATTTAATGTATATCAATCAAATTCACCCTGACAATATTACTTTTCCATATGTCATTTAAATGTACAAGGGTATTCTTCATGCAAAATTCATAGAACTAAAAACATGGTGTACCTTGAAATATTTGTATATATAAAGTAAGATATTGTGACAACATCCTAAACACAAAGTTATCTTATTTTTGGCAGTACTGGGGCGTTGAACTCAGGAACTTGCACTTGCTAGGCAGGCACTCCACTACTGGAGCCACTCAGCCACCTGTTTTTGCCGTGATTATTTTTTGGGGGTTGTGGAGGGATAATATTGGGTTATGAAATCAGCCCTCTGAACTTTCAAGAAAGTTGCTCGAGTTGGCTACTTTTGAGATATTGTCTGTCTTTATGCTCACTAGTCTGGACCACAGTGCTCCTCTTTGTGTTTCCTGGGATGACTATGTGAGCCACATGCAGAGCCTCTGCTTGAGGTGAGGGAGGTCACATAAATTATTGTCCAGGCTGACATAGACAGCAGTACTATCTCTATCTCCCAAATAGTAGGATTATTGGCTTGGGCCCTGGTGCCTGCTGCAAAATTCAGTTTTGTATCACACACACTTTATATGCAAACTCTAAAGGTAAAGTCAAACCTCATTAATTTTGTGAATGTAACAAAATTTGTGTACACTGAACCAAGAGATGAGTGGCATATAGTCAATGTTCAATAGTACAACAGTTCAGATTTTGAATATTTCTGTAGTATATGTTTAACCTGTATGCAGTTTGAAGAAAAATTTTCTGAGATTAAATCAATTTTGAAGTTGAAAATTTAGATCATTGACTTGCTTTTAAAATTTCTTGGCACTACAGTATACTGTGGACACACTGCTTAATTTTTTTGAATGCAAATTGCCTTAGGTTTCCCTTGCAGCTTTGGTAGTCACATTCAGTGTTTCTGTCTTTCTCTTTTTCCCCTAAAGTGAGGACAGATAAAATCATTATTGAAGATCTATCAGATTATAGGCAGGTTGATTGTATAATGAGACCATGCCTGGTATGTTCACCAAATTTTCTTTACTTTTTTTGTTCTTTTTATTTTTTTAACTGTAATGGTGGTTAAACTCGGGGTTTGGGGCATGGTAGGCAGAAGCTGTACTACTCGATACACTCTGTTAGCCCTTTTTGTTGGTTGTTTTTGATTTTATGTGTGGGGTGGATGGAAATACTTCTCTTTATGCTTCCCCCTTATAGCTGGGATGACAGGAGCACACCACCGTGTCCATTCATTGGTACATATGGGGTCTAGAGAACTTGTTGCTCAGGCCAAGCTCAAACTGTAATCCTCCTGATCTCTACCTCCCAAGTAGCTGTAGAGGCTTGGAACATCATGTCCAACCAAATATTTTATTTCTACATTCCAAACTGTGAAGCAGCACAGATGCCCACAAACCACTAGTTCTCTAATCAACTCATTAAAGAAACACTGTCAACTCTTACCTACAGCATCCAGGTTCCTCAAGGTTTCCCACATCACATCTCTATAGAGATTCTTCTTTGAAAGATCTAGCAAGGCCCACTCCTCGATGATGAAGTTCATAGCCACATCCTCAAAGATCACTAACTCCTGAAACATCCCACAAATTTCCAGGAAGAAAAATAAGAGTCACAGCACTGGAAATCTACATTCAATCCACAAGCTTTCCACTTACTGTGGTTCTCCTTTCAGGGTCACTCCATGTCCTGCTTGCCCCAACCTTTAACTCAATCCATACTCAGACCCAATCTCACAGCAATTCTGATACTACTTGAGAACTCTGAGGTAAAACAGCAGAATACAATCACCCCAATCTCTGTACACTAGCGCTGCAGTACCTCTCACAATAAAGTCCTACTAAATAGTGAGCAGAAGAAGCATTCCCATCAGCCACCCAGAGATGGCATATTCTTACAAATACCTGAGAACAATGTTCAACCTTTGCCAGCATATTGGATCTACATAGTGAGGGACGTCACCAGCCTGACAAGAGGGTGCAGTGTTCCAAAGAGTTTCTGTGAATAATATGCTACTTGTTTAACTCTGAAAGGCTTGTGGGTTTCTGATGTACTCAATAGAGGGAGCCCAACTGATTGACACTCAAAATATACGCTGGACAATGATCCCGTAATGAGCTGGTGTGACAATATTTAACAGAACTGTTTTTTTTTTAATGCTGGGGTTTGAACTCAGCTCTCGTATCTGCTAGGCAAGTGCTGTACCACTTGAAACATTCCACCAACTATTTTTCTTGTGTTGGGTATTTTGGAGCTAAAGGCTCACAAACTATTTGCCCAGGCTGGCTACAAATCACAATCCGCCTGATGTCTGAGTGATTGCAGGACTAAGCCACTGCTGCTTGACTTTATTTAACATACCTTGTCACAACTGTGTTTTCATTTTTTAGATAGTTTTAAATTTTATTATTGTTTTGTCACAACTTATTTATTACTTATTAATAAGTGGATTTGAAATTAAAAGAACATTACCATTCATATGGCTGACATGGACGTGGTTAGCTGTTGCTATAGTGGCCTTCTTGAAATAACAGCCCTTTCTTGCAATTTCCATCTCACAAATGCTCACTTACCCTTCCACTAGGCACTGCACAGAAAAAGACCCTGGAGAATGAGTGCCATGGTCTTAATTCCAGCCTTAAGTATGGTAATAAATTGATGTACATTCCTACAGGTTATGCAGTGTGCGGTGTTCTATTCTAAGAGTAAATTGACAGTCCAGGTAATGGAGGAAAAAAGAAAGCCATCATTCCCGTGAAAGATGTCCCAGAAAGAAGCCGCCCTGGGGTTGGTATTTGGGGAGAAGAAAGTAGTCTAAAGCACAGTCACCCCTTGGGGAGTTGAGAAAAATTAAGGAAATTAAAATCACTCAGAGGAAGAGATTTTATAAGTAGCCCACTACAGTGATCAAGAAGTGTTCCAGCTAGAGTCATACATCTGTATTTCACCCCCACTCTAGCTGTGTAAACTTGGCACATCATCAATCTTATGCAGCCTCAGCTGCTTCAACTGGGACCTGGAGGTCAACACAACTGGACTTCGTGAGGGCACTGTAAATACTGAAGAATGTGAGGTGCACACAATACCCTAACTGCAGGACACAGACACTGAACTATCTGTATGTGGATGGTAACGGGGCACTGAGGGCAGAGGAGTATCTTTGGCATCCTTGCTGGGGGGAAAGTTCTGGTTATCATCACACACTGAGAACCAGGTTCAATAAAAACTGTTGGGAAAACTGGTTAGCAGTCTGCAAAAAACTGAAACTAGATCCATGTATATCACCCTATACCAAGATTAACTCAAAATGGATCAAGGATCTTAATATCAGACCCCAAACTCTTAAGTTGATACAAGAAAGAGTAGGAAATACTCTGGAGTTAGTAGGTATAGGTAAGAACTTTCTCAATGAAACCCCAGCAGCACAGCAAATAAGAGATAGCATAGATAAATGGGACCTCATAAAACTAAAAAGCTTCTGTTCATCAAAAGAAATGGTCTCTAAACTGAAGAGAACACCCACAGAGTGGGAGAAAATATTTGCCAATTATACATCAGACAAAGGACTGATAACCAGAATATACAGGGAACTTAAAAAACTAAATTCTCCCAAAACTAATGAACCAATAAAGAAATGGGCATGTGAACTAAACAGAACTTTCTCAAAAGAAGAAATTCAAATGGCCAGAAAACACATGAAAAAATGCTCACCATCTCTAGCAATAAAGGAAATGCAAATTAAAACCACACTAAGATTCCACCTCACCCCTGTTAGAATAGCCATCATCAGCAACACCACCAACAACAGGTGTTGGCGAGGATGCGGGGAAAAAGGAACCCTCTTACACTGTTGGTGGGAAT